GAGGAGAGGAGAGGAGAGGAGAGGAGAGGAGAGGAGAGGAGAGGGTGGGCAACCTTTTTTCCCCACTCTCTATTTTTTTCCTCAATAAAATACTAGACTGTGAATCTAAATTATTTACTTTAATGACTGCATTTGATTTCAAATTAGCTTCTAGACTATATTTAGACATTCAGCAACAAACCTATATTTTTACAAACCCTTCAGTCACAAATGGCTATTCAATTTATATAGAACTGCAATTATTTATTTTTCAGATGCAGATTACTGTTTTCAGTGTTTGGAAGGCCAATACCCAAACAAAGCTCACAACCTTTGCATTCCAAAACGCATCATATTTTTGTCTTATGAAGAACCTCTGGGACTCGCATTGACAATTATTGCTTTATTTTTTTCTGTCACCTCAGCTTTGGTTCTTAAGACCTTTATTAATCATCAGGACACTCCCATTGTCAAAGCTAACAACAGGAACCTAACCTACATTCTTCTCATTGTTCTTCTGCTCTCTTTTCTTTGCACTCTGCTGTTCATTGGGCAACCCAACCAAGTGAAATGTCTCATGAGACAAACTGCTTTTGGCATCATCTTTTCTGTAGCAGTTTCTTGTATTCTGGGGAAAACAACCATTGTTGTTCTTGCTTTCATGGCCACCAAGCCAGGCTCCCAAATGAGGAAGTGGCTGGGGAAAAGGCTGGCCAACACGATTGTCGTATCTTGCTCCCTGGCACAATTTATCATTTGTATAGTGTGGTTGGCTATTTCTCCCCCATTCCCAGATTCTGACATGCACTCCATGGCTGAAGAAATTCTCCTGCAATGCAATGAAGGTTCAACCACAATGTTTTACATAGTCCTTGGTTTTATAGGATTTTTGACTGCTATTAGCTTTACAGTGGCTTTTCTTGCTAGGAAGCTACCTGACAGCTTTAACGAAGCCAAATTTATCACCTTCAGCATGTTGGTCTTTTGTAGCGTCTGGATGTTATTTGTTCCCACCTATCTGAGCACCAAAGGGAAATACATGGTGGCGGTGGAGATCTTCTCCATTTTGGCTTCTGCAGGTGGATTACTGGGCTGCATCTTTTTCCCCAAATGCTACATTATTGTTCTAAGGCCTGATTTGAACAGAAAGGAGCAGCTAATAAAGAAATAAAACTGATTTTTTTATTCCACTATGTTATAAATCCTTTAAGCTGAGACATGAGGCTTATTCCTCTGGTTAAGAGGCTGCACTCAGATTTATATTTCCTTTTTCTTTTAACCATAAATAAAGATGGGAAACAATCACAATATTTTGGAATGCAGTTCTCATAATGAAGTTTCTTTATATGTAAGACTATTAGGTGGCATTTTTGTGAGAAACAGAGAAATAGAATGCAGCTGCTGTAAGAGTTATTGTAGGGTGCCCCAGAAAAGAAGTTTCTATAGGAGAATGAGGAGTGACAAGCTACTGAGAAGAAGATGATGAAGACGAAGGGGACAAGGAAGAAGAAAAGAAGGGGGAGTAAGAGGAGGAATGAAGCTTAGTATATTGGATTAGAAGCTTCTTCTCACTTCAACCCTAAGTGTTGAACTTCTCTGGCCAGCCAACCCACTTGACTAGAATTTCTCCGCATTTCCCCCACCCTCTTTTTCTGATCACATTTTCAATTCTGTGTATGTGTTGTTCGTCAGCAAGGAACCTTTTGGAGCTCCTCAGGGTAAAAAGACCCCTTTACAGGCTCATCTGTGTAATCTTTTAATCTATACACCACTCTCCCCCCCCAACCCCAGTTCTTTGATGATGAATATTCAATCAATATAGGTTTGCTGATCGCTCTTTTCAAACTTTCCCTTCAGTTCGGAAACCCTGATGTGGTCTCCCACCTTAAGGTATTTTTCTTTTCTTTTACTTTTTAAAACCTTCCCATACAGACTTACCCACACCTCCATTTTGTTAGACAAATTTACAATATTAGGGACAACCCAGATGCTACAATGGAAAGTACCCCTGTACCCCTGAAGAACAACAAGCAAAATGTCCATGTATTGACGGGTATTTCTAGCTCTAAAATATCTCCAGGCATATTTCAATAGCACATTGATAACTGTTAAGATGAACGTTTTTCCCATGGTTTTCCTTAGAAAATTTGGACACATCTATGAGAACAGCCTGCCATTGCTGATCTAAGCCAGACCGCAGTGTTTATTTCTAGGAAAATTAATTCTTGCAGGTTTATGAAGGGTATAAGCATCTTGTCCTGAAAGCCATGTCTTGACTTGCTTCATGGACAGGTTTTTATGCTTTCTTCCCTCCTGAAAAAGGGAATTCACACCTCAATAACTCCCTACACAACCAGGTGTATAATAAATGCTCCTTAGAACCTTTTCATACTTCATTATGCTGAAAGATCTTTTTGCTAGCTGACACAACTGCACATGCCCAGAATCAGGGCTCTGACATGTCTAGACATATCGATAGTAGTGAGATAGGCGGTGA